GATGACCGGTAAGGGGATCTTACCCCTTGACTTGGTGTCGTCAGCACCACGCTCTCCCATGTGAGCTAACCGGCCATCCCTATATAGGATCCGAACCCATGGCCTTGGTGTTATCAGCACCACACTCTCCCGAGTGAGCCACGGGCCGGCCCTGGGTGGTCTTCATTTATTTCCACAAATGAAATACTACTCAGGAAATATTTTAAAAAGGAATGAATGATTGACACAAGCAACAATTTGGATGAATATCCAGGGCATTATGCTCAGTAAAAAAAAAGTCAATCTCAAAAGTTTACATACTTTATGATTCCATTTATTGAATATTCTCCAAGTGAGTTTTTTTTTTTACCAAGTGACAAAATTAGAGGTGGAGATCAGATTAGTGGCTGCCAGGGGTAGGAATGGAATGGAGTGGGGAAGGAGAAGGGAAGGTGTGACTATAAAGGGGTAGCCTGATGGAGTCTCTTTGCGGTGATGGAACTGTTGTATATCTTGATTTTAGCGATGGTTACACAAAACTGTGCATCACATACACATACACCCATGCAAGTGCATGTAAAACTGGTAACATCTGAATAAAGTCGGTAGATTTACTAGCATCAACTTCTTAATTTCGATATCTATATTACTATAGTTATACAAGATGTTACCAGTGGAGGGAGCTGGATGAAGGGCACAGAGAACTTCTCTGTACTACTTTTGCAACTTCCTCTGAGCCTATAATTATTTCAAAATCGTTTTAAAAAAAACCATACACACACACATATATTCCTCAAAAAATTAAAAACAATTGCAATATGGCCCAACAATTCCATTCCTCGGTATATATACTCAAATGGAAACATATTTCCACATAGAAACTTATACACAAATTATAGCAGCATTATTCACAATAGCCAAAAGGTAGAGATCACCAGAACGTCCATCAGCTGGTGAATAAATAAACACAGAACCATGAGTGATAAGATGCTGGTTGTTTTAATCCATTAAACTTGGGGATGATTTGTTCCATAGCAGTAGATAGTGAGAATAGGGATCTTCAAACTGCTGGAGGCATTGTTGAGTCTGCCCTCTAGAGTGTCACCCATAGTGACACAAATATGCTGCGGTCACCAGTCACTCTTTCCACCTGCTAATACATTTTTCCACCCCCTTTCTTTTGGAGGAACACCTCTGCCCACTCTGAGAGGTTAAGGTGGGGGGCTGTCAGTTAAGCGAACCCCTCCCTAATCAAAAGAGGAGGTTCATGACCTAAGTCTGGCCAATCAGATAACCCCATTGCCTGGGCTACAGGGATTGGTTCAAGAGTGACCACATGATCCAAGCTGAGCCAATCAGATTTTCCCTGGAGATCCTTAACCGCTATGGGAGAAAGACTTCCTCTTGCTTTGACATCACCATGTGGCCTGGCTGCCCTGGTGTCTGTGTTCCCTACCATGTAAACATAATCACAGCTAACATTTATAAAGTGTTTGCTCTGTGCCAGGCATGTCCTAAATGCGTTTGCATGTGTTTAAGTCATTTAATTTTCAAAGCACCTCTATGGAGCGGGTGTTATTGTTAACCCCTATTTTGTACATGCGGGAAACTGAGATGTGCTATAGCTTCAGTAGCACACACGCTAAAATTAGGATGATGCAGAGAAGATTAGCGTGGACCCTGTGCATCAATGACATAAAAATTTGTGAAGCTCCATATAAAATTTTTATTATTATTATTATTATTTTTTTTTTTTAAAGATGACCGGTAAGGGGATCTTAACCCTTGACTTAGTGTTGTCAGCACCACGCTCAGCCAGTGAGCGAACCGGCCATCCCTATATGGGATCCGAACCCGTGGCCTTGGTGTTATCAGCACCGCACTCTCCCGAATGAGCCACGGGCCGGCCCCCATATAAAATTTTTTTAAGTAATAATTTAAAAATATATGGGGGAAACTGAGGTCCTAAGAGGTTAAGAAACTCATTTAAAGGGGCTGGCCAGTTAGCTCAGTTGGTTAGAATGCAGCCTTATAACACGAACATCACAGGTTTTGATCCCCAGACTGGCCAACCACCAAAAAAAAAAAAGAAAGAAAGAAAAAAACTCTCTCAAGGAGAGAGGCCAGATCCCAAGAGTTTATACTGTATGAATTATCTATTTAAAGTGAGAGTGGGTGTTAGAAGGTGCACAAAACCAATGCCATTTTGTGCCCCTTCCCCCATGTTAACTTCTGTTTAACTTCGTTCCCTTGTTTCACTGACCAATTATACCTTAACCTTAGGGCAAGCTGTAAAAGGAACATAAGTTTCAGGGAGTGAGTGATTTATCACAGCAGGTGGCCTCAGTGGTCTGAGCACTAACATCCTGAGACACCCCCTGACCCCGTGAATCTGCAAGACACCTGGTGAATGACGTTATCACCTTATTTTTTTAAATGTGTTTCCTTAAAGTTATTTTTAGTAACAGAGCTTTTGCTATAAAACTACTTTACCTAAATGCAGAGAGCTAGAGCTCTCATCTATGGATGTCTGATTCTTCACAGCATCCAGCTTTCCTGTGTGTGAGTCATCCCCATTAACAGATATCTTGCTGGATCACCGTACTGGCCAGCCACCAAAAAAAAAATAATAATAATAATTAAAAATAAATAAATAAATAAAGGGTCTGGCCCGGTGGCGCACTGCTACAGTGCGCCGCTTGGGAGTGCGGTGGCGCTCCCGCCGAGGGTTCGGATCCCACATACAGACCGGTTCCTGCTCACTGGCTGAGCGAGGCGCAGGGGCAACACCGAGGGTTGCGATCCCGTTGCCGGTCCCGGTCCGGTACGGGCGCGACACTGAGGGTTGCGATCCGTTGCCGGTCACGAAAAAAGACAAAAAGACAAAAAAATAAATAAATAAATAAAAATTAATAATAATAATAAATACCTTTGTATATCTCTGAATAGACCTGCCAAATTCCTTCTTTCATATCAAGGTACCCTATCAATTTGGAAGGCTTTATACTTTAATCCCCTTCTCACACAGTGGGCAAACTACCACTGTGGGCCAAATCATATCTGCTGCGTGTTTTGGTGTGGCTCACAAGCTAAGAATGTTGTTTACATTTATAAACGGTTCGAAAAAAAAAAATTCAAAAGAACACTATCTCACAACAGATGAAAATTATGAGAAATTTAAATTTCAGTATCCATAAATAGTTTTACTTGAACACAACCAAGCACATTCACACATGCGTTGTCTGTGGTTACTTTCACACTACAACGTCAGAGTTAGTTGCGACAGAGACTCAGTGACTCACAAAGTGAAAATATTTACTATCTGGCCCTTTATTCCGATTTCACATACAAAAATGGGTAAAACTATTTTTGGTGTGAGAGGTATGAAAGTTGGTAGTTCAAATTGAGCATTCTTGTCATACCCAAACTAGAACTGGAGTTGAGGAGCCAGGAGGAAAAAGCACTCAGGCCCCATAACACCTGCTCAAACCCAGCTGTTTGTTACAGTCTCCTGTAACCCTAAGACTAGTTTTCACGTAGTAGCTGCTGAAACAACCTGCCATGATTCTAATTTTTTCTATCTACATCACTCACCAATCAAAGCCTGTTATCTCCCAAAAACCTTGCTAGTGCCAATGAGCTTTCTTTCAAATCAATACATAACATTCCTATCTCTAATAAAACTCTGACTTTTCTTTGTTCTTAGGACATACCAGAGACCATCACGGTCTACTTGTGCCCTGGATTACAAACCTATTTACCCAAATAAAATGTTCTCTTAGACTTATAACACCAAGGTCAAGGGTTTGGATCCCCACACCAGCCAGCCACCAAAACAAAACCATAAAACGTTCTCTTAGAAAAAAAAATTTTTTTTTTCACTTTAACAAAAGTCAGGGTAGTGGTTACGTTAAGGGGTAATTACTGGAAGAGGGCAGAAAGGGGTTCTGGGGGGTCTGGGGATATTGTTCCTGCATCTGGGAGCTGTCTGCATGGATTTGTTTCTGAAAATTCGGTGTGCAGTTCTTTGCATGTATGTTAAATACCAATAAAAATGTTAAAGTAGGGGCCGGCCCGGTGGCGCACTGCTGCAGTGCGCCGCTTGGGAAGCGCGGAGGCGCTCCTGCCGAGGGTTCAGATCCCACATACAGACCGGCTGCTCACTGGCTGAGCGAGGTGCGGGCGCAACACTGAGAGTTGCGATCCGTTGCCGGTCACGAAAAAAGACAAATAGGGGGAAAAAAAAAATGTTAAAGTAAAAAAATTTGCTCGAGGTTACACAGACATTAAGCTGAGAAATCCCCAAGAGGAGAACCTGATGTCCACATTTGAGCCCCCTGAATCCTGTTGGGCCCCTCCTGGACTACCCAATACCGTGGTTAGATGACTTTTCTCATTTATACATGATGGAGTTGGATTTCTGTTTCTTGCAAACCAGAAACCCCATCTCCCAGACATCTACTGTGTCATCAGCCCACTTCTCTGAAAAAAATCCCTTCTCCCACTCCAATCCTATGTCAGATGGAGGCTTCCATGTTTTTACACAATCCCACCTCCCTGGCCATAATCATTGGCTCAGGGCTGGTTCTTTACTCAAGTGGAGCCAATCACAGTAGACAAATCTGCAGGTCAAGTTGATTGATCTACAGATTGGCCAATCACAGCTTTCCCTTGGTATTTTTGAACTTTGGGGCCCAAGGCAAGGCTGCTGGTTGATATGGGCTTTGAAACTGCAGAGTGCCAAGTTTTCATTCTATAGAGAATGTTGTTTCAAGAGAAAAATGCTGACTTGATGGCTTTTAAATCCAGAGGAATGCCTGCACTTTCTTGTTTGGCTATGTAAGTCAACCATGTTGTCTTCTGGCCCAAGTTAGAGCAAGATGATTTCTGTCACTTGCATCCAATAAAGACCTAATAACAGTCCCTTATTACAAACACTGTAACACACACACACACACACACACAGAAACACTACAATCTATGCACACACCAAAAAAATACACAGACCCCGATGCCACACCTCAGTGCGCATGTTTTTATTTCTGGATGATATAAAAGAATAAACTTAAAAAAACACCCCAAACCAAACACCAATGGCTCCCCCAAAGCAATGTGACCCCTCTTCCTACCCCGATAAATAGAGATTCTGTCAGCCCACCTCCCACCCTAATAACCCCCTCTGCTATAGACATAATCTGGGTATATATTACTCTACTCGGCAATAGACATCTCCCGAAAATAGAATTCCTGCCCTTTCACCTGACTCTACCCTGGCCCTGTGTCCCTGGGAACCCTGCTTCAGACCACCCGCCACTGCAGCACGCTGGTGTCTTTGCCCCCCGTGGTCAGGACGATGCTGTCATCCCACAAGAAGGCCACATTTGTCACGTGGCTGCTGTGTCCACCATATTTGTGGCCAAGGGCCTGTTATAGGGAAAGAAATAAGTAAAAAAAAGGTCAGAGGGGTTGCTGCCACCCCAGTCTTCTTGTCCTGATCCTTTATTCTCTGCTTAACAAACCCCTCCTTTAAGAAACAACAGGGCAACTGTACAGGTTTTTTCAACAAGGGCATAAAAGAAAAAAATGAGTGTGCTTGTGGGGGAGGCTGTTCTACACGAAGAGATTTGAGACATAAGCAAATGCAATGTTTCGATCCTGATTCAAAACAACTGTAGAAGGCTATTTGGGGGACAATCAGGAAAATGTAAATATAGACTGGGTATTAGATCATATTAAGGAATTAGTGTTAATGAGTAGATGTAATCATAGATTTGTGGATATGTAAAAATTACATATCTTTTAAAGAGGAATGGGGCCAGCCCGTGGCTCACTCAGGAGAGTGCGGTACTGATGACACCAAGGCCCCGGGTTCGGATCCCATATAGGGATGGCCAGTTAGCTCACTGGGTGGGTGTGGTGCTGACAACACCAAGTCAAGGGTTAAGATCCCTTTACCGGTCATCTTTAAAAAAAAAAAAAAAAAAATTACAGGAAAAGAGAAAAGGCGAAAGCAGAAACAAACATGCCAAATGTGTAATAGTTAAACATAGGTAATAGGTACAGGAAGGATCACTGTACCATTCCCTCTTTTTTCTTTTCTTTTCTTTTTTTTTTTTGGTGCCTGGCTGGTATGGGGATCAAAGCCAGGACCTTGGTGTTATCAGCACCATGCTCTCACCAACCGAGCTGACCAGCCAGCTGGTCTCTGCTTTTACGTGTGAAAATTTCCTAGTAAAATGTTAAAACAAACTCCTCTTCTGTTAGAACCAGAGAATGGTAAAATTAATGTCCAGTTGTATCTTAGACACAGGTTAGCTGCTGGTGAATGAGTTAAATATGATCCACAGTGTTTTTAGAAAGATAGTTGTTGACGTTACTTAAAAATTGAGGGAGTTCTGGGCCGGCCCGGTGGCGCACTGCTACAGTGCGCCGCTTGGGAAGTCCGGCAGTGCTCCCGCCGAGGGTTCAGATCCCACATACAGACCGGTTCCCGCTCACTGGCTGAGCGAGGCGCGGGAGCAACACCGAGGGCTGCGATCCCGTTGCCGGTCCCGGTCCGGTACGGGTGCAACACTGAGGGTTGCGATCCGTTGCCGGTCATGAAAAAAGACAAAAAGGAAAAAAAAAAAAAATTGAGGGAGTTCACATTAAAATCCTGACTTCTGGATTCTTAAAAGCTTGCAAGATCTACTTGCACTGAATCGGCTTCCCAGTAAAAGTGGGGTGTAAGTAGTGGCTGCCCCTTAGTCTCAGTCTATTTGTTTGACCTTGTGGTACTGCAGCTTATGACCTTTGTCCTAGGACTGCAGTATAATCACAGATCTTAGACCTGTAGCATCTTGGAACCATCATGCCACTTAGAATGGCAGCCTGGGGCCGGCCCGTGGCTCACTCGGGAGAGCACGGTGCTGATAACACCAAGGCCACGGGTTCAGATCCCACATAGGGATGGCCGGTTGGCTCACTAGCTGAGCGTGGGGCTGACAACACCAAGCCAAGGGTTGAGATCCCCTTACCGGTCATCCTTTAAAAAAAAAAAAAAAAAGAATGTCAGCCTGTTGAGGGCAGTGACCTCACCTGTCTCGTTCACTGCTATATCCCCGGTGCCCAGGCATAGTAGGTGCGCAATAAATATTTCTTGAGTTAACAAGGATAAGAACCAAAGATCTCAGAATAGTAGATCCTAGAACTTTAGAGAGCCATGTCTTCAGCAGTAGATTGTGAAGTTCATCAACCTCCAGGTTAAGTAAGGCCCTTGGCATCAAGCCCACTGTCCTACTCATACAGATGGGGCCTGGAGAGGAGTGTGGTTGGACCAAATCTGTTTGAATCTTACCCCCAATCCTGTTTGCTATCCCCTGCCTCACCAGCCCCCCTGAGGGACTCACTCGAGGCTGACAGCAGGGGTAGCTAAACAGGTGGACTTTGCCAAAATCATCAGCTGAAACCAGTAACTTCCCATCGTGGGAGCGGGCCACGGCGTTGATATCAGTACCATCAGCCCCCTCAGGCCAGATCCCTGTGGGCAAGATGGGAGAGGAGGGAGTGGTAAAACGTCAGCTGCGGTCAGGGACCCCCAAGGGGAGCAGGCCCTGCCCCAGCCCCCCTGCCTTTCCTCCTACCTGGCCTTTATCTATTCAAAGATAGGAGTCAGAACGATCTTACAAAAATGCACATCTGACCCTGTCCCTCCACTGCTCAAAACCCTTCCATGGCTCCTCAGTGTCCTCAGGAGAAAGCATACGACCCTCAAGGTTCTGCTTGGCCTGGTCTCACCCAATGCCTCAGCCTCATCCCTCACCAGTGCTCCCCTTGAACTCTGCAATGACTTAAACACCCTGACTTCTTCCATTTCTCCAAATGGCAAGTTCTGTGTCACCTCTGGGCTTTTGCGCATGCTATTCTCTTTGCTTCAGACGGCACTCTTCTTCATTGCCCTGAAAGGCACCTCCTCATCCTACAGGTACTAGCTCAGATGTCTCTTCCTCCAGGAAGCCCTCCCTGCCTCCCTCCCCAGACGGGCTCAGACACCCTCCTGGGCTTCCCTGTCCCAGCCCTGCCCACTCTGGGTCATCACTGTCTAGGGGCAAGTCTGTTTCCCCGACTGGACTATGAGCCCCAGGAGAGCAGGGTCAGGGCTGTCATCACCTCTGTGTCCTAGCACTGCCCAGCCCAGGGCTGGCACAGAGGTGCTTAGAGAGTATGTGCTGACCGCATTAGTGGCTGAATGAATGGGTGGCTGGGGCTCTGGCAGTGTGAGTCTCTCTGGGCCAGGTGCCACCAGCCATTTGTTCTCATTTCATTACAGCTCTAAGGAACATCAGCAGTCACCTCACCCTATCCTTTCCTCTTAAACAAATACTGCCCACACATGTAGAGGAGTGAGTTCCCTGTCCTGGAGGTAACCAATAAGACACCGAGAAAACCACCAGTCAGGGATATTCCTTGAACTCTTACCCTTAGTGGGATCTGCCTCATTGCAGAACTTACCAAACACCCCAAACCCCAGGACACAAGTAGCTGTGGCCCATTCCACATTCCTCACAGCATCTGCACTGGTGATCTGCTTACAGGTGGCCGGGTCCCCTGGGGCAGAAAATGACGTGAGGCGTTCAGAGCCAGAAGAACTACTCACTAAACCCATCCCTTTCACAGACAGTAGGCACTGAAGTCCAAGACAGAGGAAGCTGAGGTTCCAGGGTTCATTCCGCCTCTCTGGACTGGCTGAGGAAGCTGGATCCTGGGTCCTGACACCCCAAAGCCTGGGCAGGGGCATCTGCTTAGAAGCCTGCATCCCTCCCATCCAACCAGAAAGGAAGGAATTGGTTAAGGGAGAAAAGCTAAAGCCAGGGGTCCCTTTTAGAAGCCTGCATCCCTCCCATCCAACCAGAAAGGAAGGAATTGGTTAAGGGAGAAAAGCTGAAGCCAGGGGTCCCTGAATTCCAAATCAGAACAGCCCCCTGAATACTGAGAGCCAGAGGAGAGAGACTTGAAGCCCCTATCTCCCCTCCCAGAACTCGAGGGAGTCTATGCACATCACATATGCAAAGAAGGCTAATGGACGAACATCTTAGGGTCTTGGAGAACTCACAGTACAGAATCTCGTAGTCCCCAGAGTTGGTGACAAAGCAGCTGCTGTCCTGGGCCCAGTCCAGGTGAGTTATAAAACTAGAGTGGCCCTGTGGGGGAGGGAAGGGGTAGAGTTAGAGCTGGAGAGGGCAGAACCAAGCAGAGGGGTCGAGATTAGATCAGGAAGGGTGGAAGGCAAAATACAGAAAGATAGGGTGAGAACACAAAGGGACTAAAGAAAGGATACACAGGCCTTTAGAGTGTGGGGGCGGGGCCAGGAAACATGGGCGGGGCCAGACTGTGATGGGTGGAGCTAGACAAAAAGCACTTAGAACACAATGGGAATTTAGAACATTTAGAATGGGCAGAGCTAGACACGGAGAGGCGGGCTTTGAATGCAAGGGGCTGGGCTATACAGAGGGGGTGCTTAGAACGTGAGGGGCGGGGCTACACGAAGGGGCGGACTTAGAACGTGAGGGGCGGGGCTACACGAAGGGGCGGGCTTAGAACGTGAGGGGCGGGGCTACACGAAGGGGCGGTCTTAGAACAACTGAGGGTGTAAATGTGTTGGTGGGACCAAGGCTCCTTGAAGTGATCAGGGAAGTCAGTTGAGTGTTGAAGCTGTGCTCCCTTGAAGTAGAAAATTGGTTAATTCTGCATCCCCTGGGCTGGGTGGCGGCGCAAGCTGGGGGCCACTGCCCACTCACCAAGCACTTGCCCAGTCGGCTGACCTTGCGGCCGCCCTGGTCCACCGTGTACACGTACACCAAGTTGTCGTGGGAGCCCACGGCCAGGTACGCCCCGTCTGGGGGAGGGGGAGGGGGCTATGAGGAGGCACCCAGGCTCCGCCCCCTCCTCTCCCAGATTCAGCCTCTTCACTCTCCCAGACTGACTGCTCGACAGTCCCAAACTCCACCCCCTTCTACATTAGCTCAGAGGTCTTGCCGCCCACTCTCTGTCTCCTCCCCCTGTCAGTAACTCTGAGCCTCTGTCCTCAGGCCCGGCCTCTCCTGGGTCCCAGGGATACCCCTTACCTGGGGAGAAGCTGACCACTGAGATCTGTTCATTGCCGTCTGTATGGATAGCCACCAGGTCATGGGTCTCCGTGTCCAGCAGCAGCCATCTGTAAGGAGAAGGCATGGTGGGGGTAGGAGGAGTGAGTTGACCTGGCAGAGAGGGGCAGCAGAGGAACCCCAGTAGAGATTTGGGAGATAGGCTGACTCCAGAGGAAACGTGGAGAGATCAGAGCATAGTAAACAATGGGTAACAAATTAACCTCTGTATGGGCTTTGGGGTAGTAGGGAAGGGGGAGGTCAAAGGCCATTTCCACAGAGAGCAGAGAAGCCCTCCCCAAATGCCCTCCTCAGCTTTACCTGCCAGTCACTGTGCCCACAGCCAGGACAGAACCATTGGGGTGGAAGCTGGCAGAGCATGCAGGGTCCTGAGAAGGGAGAGAAGAGGCAGGGCCGAAAGCTGGCATCCCACATCCATATAACCATTCCCCTACCTCAGAGCCAACGCTCAGCCTGGCATGAGGGCTCGCCCCTCCTTCTGCTGCCCTCCAGGAACCCACCAACCCAGACACCCCGGAAATCATTCCCCTTCCTTTAACGTGTCAGCCTGAACAGAAAATATTCCTCCTGTCACTGCTGTCTCCAGATTCTTTGTTACTCCTATTCTAAATTCCCTATTTGATAATTAAATATTATAAAGTAAAAAAATTTTTTTCCACTTAAATAAATAAGAAAATCCCCCAGATTTATTTATCCAAGATGACTTCCTTAGGTAATTTCCTAGATATGGATCTGTTGAGACAAAGGGTATCCATATTTTTAAGACTTTTGATATATAATACCAATTTGCTTTCCATAAAAGTACATCAACTTATCACCACTTGTGGGTGAGTGCCTGTTTTCCCACATCTTCATCAGCACAGGGTATTAACATTTTTTATTTGGGGGGCATCTGGTTGGTTCACAGGCAGTACAGCACAATGGAGTCAGGCCTGGGTTCAAACAGTGGCTCTTACACTTTCTAGCGATGCGAATGACATGAAGTGACTTTCCCTGTTCAGTCCTTGATTGCCTCATGTGGCCAGTGGAGCTCATCAATACGCACTTTCCAGGGCTGGCCGGTTAGCTCAGTTGGTTAGAGCACAGTGTTATAATACCAAAGGTCAAGGGTTTGGATCCCCTTACAGGCCAGATGCTCTGCTCCCCCCCACCCAAAAAAACCCACTTTCCAGGACTGTTATAAGCAAAGTGTAACATCCTTAGAATGGTAAGCTAGTAAGATGGCCCATAGTAAGTACTCAATAAAGGTTAGCTGTGACTATAACTACACCGTGACATTGGGTAAGTGATTTTGCCTGTCTGAGCCTGTTTCCAAGGGGGATCCATCATCCCTACTACCTTGTGGAGTTTGGGGGAGGAGTCAAAAAGATGATGCAGGTAAAATGCTACGCCTGTTTCTCTGGGCAAGGTCCACAGACCACCTGAATCAGAATAACCTGAGGGAGCTTGTTAAAAAACTGTAGATTTCTGGTCCTCCATTCAGACTGCCTGAATCAGACTCTCTCTGGATGGTGCTCAGGAATCTTGTTTCTAACAACTCCCCGGGTGATCTGATGCCCTAGTGACCTGGAGAACTTCTGTGCTGAGCACAAGGCCAGGCATATGTAGGTGCTGAATTAAGACAGCCAGGATGAGGATTATAATACATTCCCCTAACAATTTCCAGAGCACACTATCTATGATTCAGTTCAACGATCAGAGGTAACCCTAGAAGGATTCCAGAAGGAAAGCCTCAAAAGACAGTGTGGGGGATGCAGAGGACTGACCACCTTTCTTCTCACATGCCTGCCCATACTGTACAGGCAGGAGAGCCAAAAAAACCACACTTCCCAAAATCCTTTGCAGCTAGAGTGCTGCTGTGATTTGGGTCTGACAATCAGTTGCACTTTTGAGGGCTCTGGAAGCCAGAAGGCAGAGGCCCGCTTCTGCCACTCCTACTGACCAGTTGGGTCATGAAAGAAATGGGATTTGCTATGCAAGTACCCAGTGTGCAGTCACTAGCCTTGTGCATATTAAAAGGAAATGGCACAGAGTATGTTTCTGGACAGTGCAAGTCTAGCCAGCATTTGAGTAGCTCTGGAGCACAGCAGTCCAATAGGGCCTTCTGCAGTGATGGAGATATTATATATCTGCACTTTCCAATATGGTAGTCACTAGCCACATGTGGCAATCAAGCCCTTGAAATGTGGCTAGTGTAACTGAGGAACTAAATTATTAATTCTATTTACATTTTAATTCATTTAAGTTTGAACAGCCACATGTGGCCAGTGGTTATCGCATGGGACAGTGTAGCTCTAGAGTCAACAGTTGCAGGAGCCACAGCCCCTGGCTCCTGGATAGCAACTAAGCAACGTGTCCTTGAACTCAATGGTTCCTATCTCCCTACCCTCCTCACTGTGGCACAGGCTCCCTTGGAGGGTCAGTTCTGTGCATTGTTCTGGTCTTCCTTTCAGCTAAGAACTTGTTCCTCCAGCCCTTCCAAGAGACTTTGTAAGCATCCAGTACCCCGTATTCAATCGTCTTCTGCTTAAAAAGACCTTGTGTGGTTTCCGTCTGATATGCTGAGCCCTGCCTGATGCATGAAGAAAGGTATTTCTGGTAGAACGGTGTGTCCAGTCCCCTTTCCCCTCACCTCAATGATCCTACTCCACAGGGGCTGGTGGGACTCCAAACTCCACAGATGCACCAGCTTATCCTGCCCACAGGTCACAAACTGTGCCCGGCTGGGGTGTGTGGCCAGGCCCCACAGCTCTTCCACATGGCCCTGGCACAAAAGGAAGACAGCAGGATGGAAACTGTAACCCTAGCACTTCCCCACCCAACCCTCATACCAGAAAGAGGTGCTGGACTAGCCCCATCCACCCACCCTGCCCCAGTATGACCCAGGAAAGACCTCTCCCCACTGTGTCTGATGGGGATCACAATCAGGCCAACCCCTGCCCCAGTATGTAGCTTGAGGCAAATCCTGCCCCTTCCCCCTGGGCCTCTCCTTTCCTCTTTGCATAACAGGAAGCAGGAGGTTGTGGTGGCTCAGAGCTTGACATTGGGAGCCAGACAATCTACAAACACCCTGGCCACACACCTCTCAGGTCCCCAGCTCCAAGGATCTGGGAAGGCCCTATGGGAGTCTTCCTTGAATCAGACAGACAGGGGAAGCAGACAGAGGCCAGAAGTCTGTGGGGTCTCATGGAGGGTCCTCAGCCTGGAGGGTCTGACCTTCAGCTCTCTCTTACTGACTGTGGGCACTCAGCCACTGAGGCAGGCAACCTCTCCTTGGAGCCTCAGTTTAATCTTCTGTAAAATGGAGCCAATCAGTGAATATGCCTCGTGGCACTGTTGCGCTCACTCACATCGTGGATGGAAAGTTCTAAATATAAGGCTAGTTCAGAGAAGGTGCTCACGAAATGGAAGTGGCTATTATTATTATTAACAACATAAGATATTAATATACTATGAATTAATATTAATATTAACAATAAATCAATACTTACTAATCAGATAATAATATCGTGATTAATAGCAATATAATTCTAATAATACGATTGTACTATATTAATATAATAAATCATATTAATATTATTATTAGGGGTCTCTTCAGTCCCTTTGGCCTCGGGACACCTAGGAAATCCCTCTAGCCTTTGTTTTCCTTCATCTTCTTATGGAAACTAGAGCCAGAAGGGAATCTAAAGGCAGCAGCAAGGATTTCAGCTAGACTGTCAGAGGGAAGATGCAGGGAGCAGGTGAAGGAAGGGGAACCACTGAACAAGGAGTATGTCTGGCCAAGACATTGTGAGCACTTACTCTGCCCAGCTCCAATCTTTTACTTTATTTTATTTATTTATTATTATTATTATTATTATTATAACCCTTGACTTGGTGTTGTCAGCACCACACTCTCCCGAGTGAGCCATGGGCTGGCCCCTCCACTACATTCTAAACGCTGTGTATGAAATGACTCATGGAATTCTCACAAAACCCTTGGCAATAAGTTCTGCTGCTCTCCCCATTTCACAGAGACACAGAGAGGTTACTCGCTTGCCCAATATAATCATATACAGTGTATATTGACAAAATAAAAAATAAATAAATAAATAATTTAAAAAAAAAATCTCTTAGAGCTGATAAGTGATTTCAGTAAACTTGTAGGATGGTTTTGTGTGTGTGTGTGTGTGTTGATACAAAATCAACACACAAAAGTGAGTAGTATTTTTATACTCCAATAGCAAACTCACAGCAAAAAAATTAAAATAAAAATAAACAAGCCCACTTACAATAGTCACCAAAAAACAAAAACCAAACAAACAAAAAACCTAGGTGAAAGAAAGTGAGCTGAAATGCTGGGTACTGGTCAGGCTTTATTAAAGAAAGGAAGTTGCCAGGCTATGGTCAGAATGGAGGACAGCAGCAACAATGGGAGTGCAAGAGTTTATATAAGCTGTGAGAGTGAAATGTGCAGAAGGGGAAGGACCATTGGGTTGATGTAACCTGGTGGAGAACTGCACCTATGTGGAAGCTGGAAAGTTTCTATTTCACAGAAATCATGTGGCTTCTTGTAAAGGGCAAGGGGTGGGGGGTGGAGGGCTGGCAGCCATTTTGTGCTTGGCTCTGTCTAAAATGGTGCTTGTCATATTCAAGATCTATCACTAGGAAGAATGAAACTAGACCTGAACCTCCTGCCATATACCAAAATTAACCAAAAATGGATTAAAGTTTTAAATATAAGACCTGAAACTATACAACTCTTAAAAGAAAACACAGGAGAAACACTTCAGGAAGTAGAACTTTATGAATAAGACCCCAAAAGCACAGGCAACAAAATAAAAAGTAAACAAGTGGGATTATGTCAAACTAAAAACACAACAAAAGAAACAATTAACAGAGTGAAAAGATGGCCTATAGACTTGGAGAAAATATTTGCAAACTATGCATCCAACAAGGGATTAATATCCAGAATATACAAGGAACTCAAACAACTTGGCAGTAAAACAAAACAAAACAAAAAACCCAAGTAATCCGATTAAAAAGTGGGCAAAGGAGCTGAATAGGCATTTCTCAAAAGAAGACACACAAATGGCCAACAGACACATGGAAATATGCTCAACATCACTAAGCATCAGGGAAATGCAAACCAAAACCACGTTGAGATATCATCTCACCCCAGTCAAACTGGCTATTATCAAAAAGAACGAGAATAATAAATGCTGGTGAGAATGCAGAGAAAGGGTAAACCTCCTATACTGTTGGTGGGACTGTAAATTGGTGCAGCCATTATGGAAAATGGTATGGATATTCCTCAGACAACTATAGTTAGAACTGCCATATGATCCAGCAATTCCACTGCTGGGTATATACCCAAAGGAATGAAAAGCATCATGTCGAAGGGATACACGCATTTCCATACTTAGCACAGCTGTATTTACAATAGCCAAGAGTTGGAACCAACCTAAATGTCCATAGACGGATGACTGGATAAAGAAAATGTGGTATGTATACTCAGTGGAATACTTCTCCGGCATAAAAAATAGAATTACTCTGCCATTCACAGCAACATGGATGAGGTTGGAGAAAATTATGTTAAGTGAAATAAACCAAGCACGGAAAGAGAAATTCTGCATATCCTCACTCACAAGTAGGACCTAAAAATAAATAAAAATAAAAATAAACAAATAAAATAAGAAATATAGAGACTAAAATCACAATAATACATTGAACTTTCAAAAGGAGAGAACACAACTGAGGCCAACAGTGTTGGGAAAGGTGGAGGAACAGTAGAAGTTATGGAAAAATTGGTAAGGGGCCACAAAAAATGATCACGTGGTATAATTTTGAATATACTAATTATCTTTATTAGAGTATCACATATTACACACAGGTATTGATATTCAGTGTGTTACCCTACAGATAGGTACAATCAATTATGTTTCAGTAAAACAAGAAAAGAAAAGATTTAACAATTTTAGGATTTGCAAGGAGCTTTCAGAAAGAAAAGCATCAAAATAGAGCAATTACTGTGGACAATTAAGTTATAATTGACAAAGAAATTTGGTTGTATCTATCGTCTACAACAATTTTGCATAGTAGCCATAATTATGAGTGACAACATATACCAAGACATACCAGAATTTCAGGATTTTTTATGTAGTTTTAAAAATATATTTATTACTAATTTTTTTCACATTCTTCTAGAATGTTGTGGAGCAGTTGTGAGGGAGAGGGAGAGGGGAAAAGAAAGGGGGATAAGGTAGCAGAAGGAGGAGGGACATGGTCAAGGCCCATGGCATCCCCCTCATTCTGGCATGGGAACCCAGGGGTCTTCTGGCAGTGGCTCAGACATGGCTGGGCTGGATGCAGACACTGTGGGGAGCATGACTGAGACCTTTACCCCCTCACTGCCCCAGGTTGAGAGACCAGGATGCTTCTGGTGGCAGCCTGGTGGTCATCTCCGGGCTGGATGTGGACATTGGAGAGGTGTGGCTGAGGCCCTTGGCCCCTCCCCACCCCAGCTCAGGAGCCTGGGGTGCTTCTGGCAGTGGCCTGGTGGTCATTGCTGGGCTGGATGCAGATATTGGGTGGGCTTGGATGAGGCCCTCAGCCCCATACTGTCCCAGCTTGGGAGCCTGGGGTGCTTCTGGCAGCAGCCTGGCAGTCATTGCTGGGCTGGATGTGGATATTGAGGGGGTGGCTGAGGCCCTCAGGCCCCATACCCTAGCTTGGGAGCCCAGGGCACTTCCAGCAGTGGCCTGGTGGTCATAACTGGGCTGGATGCTGATGTCTGGGGGCCTGGCTGAGACCCTCAGCCCTACCCCTACCCTGGCTTGTGAGCCTGGGGGACTTCCAGACTTTCTAGGTTTTATAGGTGGTTTTGGTGATGTTAGAACTTTACTAGTTAATATCAAACGCTGTCTCTGACGTGTGGGTATTTTTGTTTTTTCCTTCAGTTCTGTGTTGGATTATTAGCTACCCCCACCACTTAAACTCTGTACTGGAACTAATTGGTTGTCCTTTGATTACTTCTAAAAATGGGAAAACATCCTATGGGACCAGAACATGAGCCCTGTGGTTGACCTAAATTGCTGTTTTGCTGCCGATTCCCCAGGGAAGGCTTTTTGTGCAGCTCAGGTCTTAATTGATGACCTCGTAAGCACTTCCGGGTATTGTGAGGTACAGTACACCTGAGTTTTGTGGAAACTCTGGTCTGGGTCTGAGTCTTTTCAGCAAACTGCACCCTGTGCAAATCTATACTCCTGCCCAGTCTCCACTGAATAGGCCTGTGCTGATTGGAGGACAGACTAGCTGTCCATGCTGTACTCCAATGTTCCTGCAGTAGGCCAGTCTCCCCTACTCCCCACACTCCAAACACTTCCCATGGGGAAGGTTGTGTTCCAGTCTCTTGTGATGACTCACTGGCCTTTGAGTGGCTCCATTATTCAGTTATCTGTGGCTCCTCACTCCTATATGGGTCCACAGGAACCCTGTCAGTGGTCTTGCTGGCCTGAGGGTCACCAAGTCACTCTTCTCCCCTGCCACCTCCAAGCAACTTCATATGAAGGTCACAGCATTGGCTTTTGCCAACTCTTGCTCCATGTGCTCAACAGGGCCATCCTTGAAATGGTCGGAGCTCAAAAAGTTTAGAGCAATCCTTTCTTTCTCTCATTGTGGCTTCTCCTGCCTTCATGAATTCTGTAGGTCTCTCCTCCTCTTCCCCTGACCTTTAGCAGACCCAGCTGCCTTTTAATAGCTGTAAATTAGTTAACTGTGGGAGAGAGTGAGACTGGATACTGTCTATTCCACCATCTTGACTGG